CATATATTTGTTTAAGTTCATTTTTAGGTGAACATGTTTTAACGTATTTTTAAATCACATTCACATTTCTCACGCTGAATATGGCTTATTTTTGTTCTTTGATACAAATTACCTAATTCAACCAAGTGCATTAAAATGAACAAAGTTTTGTTAGGCCTGGGAGAAGAATGTCCCACAAAGACCTCAGGCACTCTTAGGCGGGCTTTTGGAAGGATGGTGGATTATAGAGGTGCTAGAGCTAATGCTACGAATGGTGGTCTCTGTTGGGAAGAGGCAGCTCATTTGCGGGGGAGAGGGGGCATGATTAGGAAGGGCATCTCTGCCCTCCTGGGTCCTCCTTTCTCTCTCTGCTTCCCAGCCACCATAACATAAACATTGTTTCTGTGCTGTGTCCTTCCGCCATACTGCTTCTCCTTTGAGCCAGTGGACAAAGGACTGAAATGTGAGCCAAAACAATCCTCTCTTCCCTTAACTTGCGGATATTAACTGTCTGTCCCAGTGACAAAAATGTGACCGAGACAGGTTGTAAATATTTTTGTGTCTGAGAATTCATATATAAATAAAACTAAATATTTTCCTAATGTATATGTCAACTTAACAGTAACCTTAACTCATGTCTTAACTGGACATTTTAAACTCCCTCTCCTGGTCTAGTCTATAACCTATTTCTTCTCACTCAGTTTTTAAATACAGCTCTCATTCCCTTTCAAGTTTTTATCTGATGCTTCTTCTAGAAGATACTCTATTTCATAAGCCATTTTAGTAAGTAAATTCAAATTTTAGTATATTTTTTCTCTTCCTGTGCACTTTTTAAATATATGTGGTTCTCTGATATTGGAAGCTCAAATTTCTTCTTAACTGCTAATTTCATCTTTTCCCAGTATTTGTTAATCTAAGTAACTTAATGTGCTAACCATTCTCACTTGTGTACAGTTTTACTTATTCTTAACATGGAGTCATCAAAACTTTTACTGCATATGTTATGGGATTGTTAACACATATTTTCCCTCATATTTATGTCATATACCATCAGATAAAATGAGATTCTTTAAAGACTTAATCAGCCTCCATTATTTTAAGTTTATAGTTTTCTTAAATGATTTAAAACCTATTGAACACTATAGTCATATTTTTATTTTAAAAGAGAATAAAAATAGTAATAAAAAACATTAAAAATGATACAGAATTTCACTAAGCAATATGATAGGAATTCAACAATGGTTGTTATATTGTATATTGTTGTCTTCAAATTAGTTGTTCAGATTACCAGATATAAACATGCAAAACTCATTTTAAAAAATTTTTAAAAAATTAAAAATTTAAGCTTTGGCTGTTCCTTTCAATAGACCAGTAGAAATCAGCAGTACAATTGTCCCAGTTATCCTGTGTATAGAAAAAAAAAAAAAAAAATATATATATATATATATATATCCTTTCCTTCTTTCTTTTCTCCTTTTCCTCATCCCAGTTGTTCCTTCCCTTTCAGGAGTTTCTTTCCCTATCTATTGTACTTTTCTGATTTTATAAAAAGTTAAATTAAAAAAAATTAGTTTCTACCATTAAAACCATTCTCCTTCCTGTCTGCAGGAAGGGGACTTGGGGACAGAGGTACATCCATTCTGCCTTTTGAACTTGTGGTGACAAAGGAGTTCATGATTGTTTCTATAAAGGGAGGCTTATGATTTTCACATAAAGTCTGAAGTGAAGCCTAATGATGAAAATCTAGGTTGAAGATGTAAATAAAGCCTATATGCTAGGATAAATGTATTTGTGAGCCAGGCTTCGCCAGGTACAGTGGTGTGTGCCTGTGATCCAAGCATTCGGGAGGCTGAGGCAGGAGGACTGTGCCAAGTTCAAGCCCAGCCTGAGCTATAGAGCAACACACTGTCTCAAAAAATAAAGGCTTTAAAGAAATCATGTGTAACAGATTAGGTGCATATGCATAGCAATATTTCAAAATGCCTGCATTGGCTTAACTGTCCAATTTCAAGAAACAGATGAGCTGCAATTGCAACATGTGTTAAAGAGCTAAAGAATTGCTTTACTCTATGATTTAAATCAATATTTACTTATTTAGCCATTACTTTTCAAGACAGGCCACAGAATAAATCTTTTTTATGAAATGAAACAGCCTGATTACTTGGGTGTGATGCTTTTCCAGGTGCTTGTATACATAGATAGATGCCTGGAAGAGTTTGAAGAGAATATCGAAGGGTAAATTGTACAAACCTAGCAGTTTTTCAATTTTCCACACAAATGGTACATTCACATTTTAGCTGCTACAGTGAGCAAGTGCATGTAGATGCTGCTCTGAACTATTGAGTCATTAGATTCTCTGGAGATCAGTAAGCAAATGAGGCATAAGAAAAAATAGCATGGCTACATATATTAATGGAATCTTTCAACTACTAAAGATAAATTTTAAGTATTCTTATTCATGTTTCAGGCACACAATGGTGTATTGACAATAATATATGTAACAGAAATGCACCTATCACCATCTTAAAAAATTAAACATTATGAATAAATCGAAGCTGACTGTTTAACCCTGCCCAAAGTACTACTTCTCTACTTTTGCAAAGGGAGCTTTTGATATAAAGAAAAAATTTAATTTTATATAAATGACAATAGAAAGTAAATGACCTCCTGAATTATCCACATGACATGGTTATTTTGGAAGGGGTTGTTTAGATAATCAATGCTTAATGTATGGACTATTTTATTCATTTTCATTTTAGAATTTTATAATACATTTTTCTATTCTACCTTACCTTGATATTTAGGTGTTTCTAAAGTTTTGGCTATTACATAATTCCTGCACATTAAACATCATTGCATTTTACTGTACATATATAAATGTGTGCCTCTGTGTGTGTGTGTGTGTGTGTGTGTGTAAAAGCTATTTTATTGTATAGAATATATACCTAGGAGTGGAATATTCAGCTAAGGTATAAAATTTTTGAAGTAACCACTCTGTTTAAAAGAACTATTAGCAACTTTAGAGGTTTCCATGTTTTCTCACACTTAGTGTGTATCCACATTTAATTATTTTTCATTGGTTTTAACTGTTGTTTATCATGTACTTCCTTGATTAATAGTGAAGCATTTTCATGAAAAGGCTTCAGATATTCTTTACATGGAAAGTTTTTGATCTTTTCCCACTTATTTGTTTTTATTGTACCCATATAGAACACACACGAACACACAGAAAATATTGGGAAGATGAATACTTTGCTAATAATATGCATTTTAATCATCCTTTTCACTCATTTCAATGTTTTTATTTCTTTTGATGTATAAATGATTTTAATTTACAAAATTTAATCCTGCATTACTTTATAGACCGCAAAGGTATCTTATTAATTTATCCAATTTCTTTTGCCTCGGTTTTCCTTTTAGTATTTTGTTTAAAGCTAAGGCTGTCTATCTAAATCTTCTGATTATAGCCTCTGTAAAGTAGTATATTTGTCACTGTTCCATTACAAACTAAAATAATTCTCCTTATGAAGCACCACATAAAAATATTTTGAATATATGTAGGCATTCATGGAAATGAAAACATTTTCCTGAAAAGACTAATCAAAAGATGACTTTGTGTCCTTAGCGCAAGTGGACAGACTCTGTTAATTTACTCCTTTGAAACTTGTATTGTTTCTGCAGTTCTGAGTCCCAGTCATTGTCTTATATGCAACAATCTCTGCAATATTAATTAGGTGGCTAACTGCACAATTAAATTAATGTTGGCTAATATTACTCAAATGTACTTTACCTTTTTACTCAAATCTTCATGTGTAATTTTATAATGTTTGTAAAAAAGTGTTTGTTTTTCAAGCTGTGTTGATAAAAAGATATATTCATGAAGAATGCTATTTTTATGGATAATTCTCTGTAAGAAATTAGAGCTTTTATTATATGGTATTTATGATGATCCAAGAATAATTTTTAAATAAAACATTATTAAGCTGCAGTTATCCCCAAACTGACAAGTTTTACCAATAATTTTTTTAATGGAAATTGGAAAAACATAAGTGTAATTTGAAGGAAAGTCCGATTTTCTGCCTTTTTGCAACATTTATTAAAAGTGAGTCCTTGTTTTTTTTTTCTATTTCTAATGTGTAGTCATCTTTTTTATGTGTCATAATGGTGTTCAGTGACTACTGTATTCTCATGTCAACATTTACAGATTCAAAAATCTATTCCATTTCTTTTTCAAATAGCCTGAAATCATCTTGAAAGTCTTCTAATATTAACAGTGTATCTGTTAACATCTTGTCCTCACTGTTTTATTTTTCTTAGAATATTAGTTATAGCCCAACCAAATACAGCAAGAAGTTTGATCTAAAAGATTTTTAATCCCATGCTTGAGTAACCAGTGACTGACAGTGTGAATGTGCTTTGAACTGTCATTTATAAGCATTTTTCATAAATGGACCTATTTAGGGAGGTTGCTGCATAAAAATAAGCATGCATAAATCTTATACACCTTAGTGACCCCATCAGAAATATGAATGAATCTTTACTTGAAGTATTCATCCACAAGATCTTCCTTATAATCACCCTGTCTCAAAAAAGGACTGCCTGCAGTTCTACTTCAGAAAGGTAAAATGTTGTGTTAAGAATACCACAAAGAACACTGGTTATACTACAATGTTGTTAAGCAAACACAATGTTAAAAAGCTTATTTTCAAGTCTATTGTGCAGTGTAATGTGAAACAGAAATGGTTGCTAATGACAGCAGAAAGAAACTGGAGTTTTCAGGGCACACACCTCTGTGGTTTCCTCTGTTTTACTGGACCATTAATCTTGGTAGAGTTTCCTTTTGATAATCAGATATAGAAGTTAATTGTGCTGTGTTTTGGCATTTAAAATATTTTGGATGGACAAAAAAAGAAGGAACATTTTGGAGTTAAATGAACGGCAAAGATACGTATCACTTAATTTAATTTTCCTCTCTCTGTCTATTCTGAAAGCAAATTTGTAATGGAAAGTGAGTATTACCTGCCTATAGATCTCTGTAGAGGAAGACCGTATAGAGTTCTTTGTTAGCAGCTCAATTAACCACCATGTTGACCACCTAATAAAACAAAACAGTCAGGTTTGTGTAAACAGTTTATAGGAGTGGTGTTCATCATCATGGTTATTTAGCATTATGTACTTTTTTCTAAGAGAACTTGGATTTCCTGAAAGACTAACTCCAAAATGTCATTTCATCCTCTACCTCTAAAACAGGCAGCAGGACTGGGAATTGCATTCTCTAAAATGATTGGCATTAGTCATAATTTTTACTTACCACAAATTTAGCACATCAATTAATTTTATTTGAATTTCAAATAGCTCTGCTGCTCCTCTGACAGATGAATGAGATAAAGTTAACACTGAAGCTCTCTGGAACAACTGATAGCCCTTTCAATAGCACTTTTCAGTTGTTGGGATGAGACCACCAATCTGCCTACAAAACAACAACCCACCTAACTTTGCTTCAGAAAGGCTCAGATAGACCAGACTGATAAAGACCCAGGCCTGTGCTCAAGTACCCTAAAAAAAGAACAGATACAGATGAAAGAGTTAAGCAGGTCTTGCTACTTAGGAAGTCAATAGAAAATGGAAAATTTCTATGGGAAATTTCTACACACACACACACACACACACACACACACAAAACAAAGACACACAAATTTATGTATTACTAGAAAATCAGTTTAGTGGTTGGAAATTTGGTTTTAAAACAAAAAGACAATCATTTTTTCTCAGTATTACTGAGGAGACTTAATAACATAAATTGTTCTAGAGAAAATGAAGAAACAGATAGCATTGCTAGGACCAATGTATTATTGTAATCTACATCCATCTTCCGAAAATGCTCCTTAGTAGTTGCTTGGAATATTGCCAACATTCTAGAGACTAGCAAAAACATATAAAAAATAATCCTGTCAAAGTTATATTCCTGGGTTTTAAGAAAGTTATATTACTGGGTTTAATTAATAAGAATTAAGCTTGTAGCATATACCAACTTTAAATAAAGCTGTAAATATTCCAAGATGAGTTCTGGGCAACCTTCAACTGTCAAACCCATCTCCTTTATCTGTACAGATTAATGAAGTGTTATTTTACTCTTAAAGTAGGGACAACATTAGGAAATGTTTGCTTCTCCATTAAGTTGCAGTCCTCTGGGACTCTTCTCTCCACAGACCTTGGGAATAATGAAGAAGTCCTCCCTTCTTTCTGCGTGTGAATTCTCATACATCTCTTCCCCCACAAACACACAATGTCCTGGCATTTGACTCTCTACTATGGGTAATTTTAAAATAGCCAAATTCATCTCTGAGCTAAGATAAAGTTTAATCTCTTTCTTTGACTGAGGTCATCATGTGTGCTTTAGACAGTGTTTTCACTGCTTCTGCCCTTAACAGAATCATTTCTTACACAGACAGAGAGTCTTTTGCTCCCTAAGACTTTCAGCGATCATTTGCTGAGTGAATGTGACCTGTATCTGATGCTTTATATACACCTCCCAAGAAGCAGTTACTTAAAAAGCTAAAAATGTGAATTCTAAATATCTTTTGCTGTGTAACATACTGGAACAAGCTATAAAGATAATTGCTCTGCATCATTCCTCCACATTAAGATTAAGATGATTAATCAAAAGATGACAGCATTCGTGAAAGGAAGTGAATAAATCTTACATTCATTTCTCTCTTCGGTTTTCCCTAAAGTGGTATTTTCAGCCACATTTTTTTCATTATGCCTCCCTAAGGATCCTTTTCAAACATCTTTTTCCTTAATTGCCCTACATGAAATTTTAACACTTTACTTACATGTTTTATAGACCATATATATGCACATATATATGTTTCTGAAATGTATGTAAAAATAACTAGAAATATTTTCATAACCCAGAATCCATTTTTGCTTCCTTAAAAACAGTATTGTCCAGTATTGCAACTGTATGTCTTAAAGTTCATATTTGTAAGGGTGTGCATGAATAAACTTGCTCAAAGCTATTATTTTATACCCTTTGCTGAGGACCCTACATAACAATAATGCTACTACACAATGAGAGAAGCACAGAGCATTCTCAGAAGGAAAGAATACACTTTTATGCTTCCAACTATGTGCATAATTATTAACACACATAACGGGCTTGAGGCCAAATTATAGTCTCTTAATGTTGTGTGAATTTATTCTCTTTCAGGTGCTATTTTCCAAACTTTATATATGTCCCTGTGCAAATACACTCCTAGAATAATTGTAAATATATTTGGACTTCTTTCAGATTTATTTTCCATCTGATACCAGGGGCAGATTTGTTTCTTGTTTACTTCTGTGATATTTACGTTTCTACTGCACTCATAACCATTGTTGAATCCTATCTTGCACTAATTGATAAAGCGTTCTAAAATATGTCTCATGCAGTTTATTCTTCAAGTCGTATCCCCTGGCCATGAATTTTTGTAAAATATACACCATAAACACAACATCACCATCATGGCTTCACCAGAGGAAGTCTCTATAATGTGTAATTTACTAAGATATAAAATGTAGGGGGGAGAAGGGAGGAACCTTATTCTGGGTAAATTGTGTAGAAAGAAATTTTGCTAAAGAACTGTGCTTTAGGTGGCCCACGGGGAGAGGGAGTTCCTCCATGAGACACTTTGAAGTTTCATTTGAAAATTTTCTCAAGAATTAGATTACCAACCCACCTACTAATGAAACTTCCAGCCTCGAGATACCAGGAACTTCCATTTGCCAGCCATAGTATTAATTTGATTATTCAGAAAAAGCAGAATCTTCCATAATGAGCTGTGCGTATATTACAAGTCTACTAACCTTATGATCAGCCATCTACAGTCAAATACCACTGTGGTTCATGTGTTCTGAATAACATTCCAACTCAGTTCATGTCTTCTTTGCCCTGGGATTGAGTAGCACTAAATTTTATTGGTTACCTTTCCAACTGTCATCACTACTGTAATTTGGGAGCTTCTTTCATCCAGCGAGTGTGTCCAGTCTACAGAGAATAGCACCACAGCACTTTTTAAAAAGATGGCATACCGTCCTCATCCACAAAAATACAATAGACAAGATATTCAAGAGTCATGAGAAACCCCTGGCTCGCTGATCATGCTTTACTATTAGAATTTAAGATTCTGCAATAGAGTTAACTGCGGGAAACCCATCTCACAGTTCTCAAATCCCTTCTGCCTAAGGCGCTGTTATGTGAAGGAGCCTTCAGTATTTGAATTAAGGAATCATGAACTTAGTTTCAAGCATAGGTGAAAAATGCAATTAATTCTGGCACTGATTTCTATACATACATCACATGTATCCTATCCTATAATGGATTCAAATACGTGTGGCCTTCAGACACAAGAAGATCAGTTGAACAGCCCAAAATGTCCATTCCTGAAATTATGCTGGTGGTAAATAATGCTTCAGTTGGAAGCCAATAATTGTAACTGAAACCGTACCAGCCATTACACAGAAAGGTATGTCCTACTAAGAACCATGTGTTTATAAAATTAAAGGAAAGCTAGAGGAGGATTGTACCACATATTTAGCTTGCAGACAAAGCTACTGCTCCTCCTTGAGTCAAGAAGATGGGAAACCAAGAAGCTGCTGCTGGAACAGTTGGCTCCAAGAAATAATGTCTGTGGAAACCAAGGGATCAGAAGATCATCACCACTAGCTACATAACAACTAAGTTACTTAAGTTTATTCCTTGAACATGAAAGTAGTGACAGGAAATGGAAATTCCATGGACACTAGTGAACAAAACTCAGTGCTAACGTAACCTGTGACTCTGCTTGAATGCAGAAATCTGGAATGAGCAGACTGCATCCCTACAGAATGACATCTTATTGGTGATTCAGAAGGAACATGAAGACCCATAACTGCAATATTTATCTATGTTTTTCTAGGTTCTGCAGTGCAGGTAGACACATGATATATTACATGGAAGTTGAATGCAAGTCTTCTACATAGACCCTGAGTTCTTCAGCTTCCAAACAAGCCTTCTCATTTATGTCTTCATAGAAAAAGTAGAAGGCAACAGCCGAGAATTCATAAAGCTTTCTGTCACCAAACCTCATATTTACTTACCCATACACACTAGCATTCTTAGTAATATATTGAGACATATTCCTCTCCTTTTACATAAGATTATTTCCCAAGTTTTTCCAGTTTAAGTCTGGAAGTCCCTTTCTCCCTTTACTACTTTTATTCTCACCTTTATTGTATATCTTTTCCTTCAAATATGTGAATTGGCTGTCTTCAAAAATTAATCTTTCGGGGCTGGGGATTTAGTTCAGCGGCAAAAGCGCCTGCCTGGCAAGCGCAAGGTCGTGAGTTCGGTTCCCGGTACCGGAGAAAAACCCAAAAAAAAAAAAAAAAAAAATTAATCTTTCATTTAACAAATTGTCCATGTGTAGCTGTTATCTTTCCTTTCTTCATAATCCGAATATTTCAGGTGGTTTTACACGATCCCATTCACCAGTACCTTACTGGTTCTCCTTTGTCAACCTGGCTTCTCTCTAATCAAATCTCTAAAGCCGCTACTTCTAGAGTATTTGATAGCCACAGTGAGATGCTTAGTCTTTAATATTCTTGACCTCTTTATAACATCAGTCACTATTGGTGTAGAAAACTCTGTTGCTTTAACCTTTCGGATCCAGCCATTCCCTGGTTTTCTGACTATGAGTATTCCTTCCTAAGTATATTTTTAGTCTTTTTATTTCTTGAATGCTGTTCCTACTGAGTTTAGTCAGAGTCACTGTTTTTCTATATGCAGGCTGTCTCTGGAAATTTATCATCTCTCTTGGATTTATGTCATCTAAATATACATTGGTAATATTTGAATCAACAGCTATATCTCCTGTGTCTGCAAGTGTAAGGGACGAAGAAGTAAAACAACAAATCTAAGTAATATTAGGACCTAGTATCAGGAACAGCATATCATAATGCTGAAGGCAAAATTAGCTGTTCAGTGACACTGTACTAATAGGTTTGTTTCTCACGTATCTGATCTGGTACTCTTCCTCAATTGTGCAAATTCCTCAAGCTCGCCATATTTGAATGTTTCTTTACCCAAGTGCGATCTCACTGAATCATCCAGAAAAGTGCACACCCTTTTGTTCCTCTCATATCCAATCACAAAGTTGAATATTTCTCAAATCTGTCACTTTTTCGCTGTTCTGCAGATCACTTCTCACTCTCATGAAAGTAACAGCCACAGAATCTAACTCAACTACTGCTTGACTGCCATCCCAATCTCTGCCCTGAAGCTACGAGGAATTTCTCAATATTTAAATAAGAGCTTGTCATTTTCCTGCCCTCTCTAGGGCTCTCAATTAGTTCCTCTTGGAGCAAAATTAATATATCTATGATTTACAATCCCCTACGTAACATGTCTCAGTTTAAGGCTAAAGACGTATCTCCTCCCCCATTCCAACTCCTCACCCACTCCTTAGCCTGGGCTTGACGTGTGAACTTCTACTGTTTCCACTTGCACTCTGCTCCTTGGGTGATAAGAACCAGTTATCTCAGAAAGAAATGATGCAGTCCGTTGGCCTCCAGTAATTTATGTCTTTCTGGAAAAAGTGATAAAATGCCACCAGACAGACTTCAAGAGGTGACATTTATCTGTTGTAATCATGAGACATTACAATTTACAAATGAGTCAGTCTGCAAGACTCAATTTCCATCTACCTTCTTTGTACTTTCAAAACAAGAAAGAAAAAACAAATTTCTGAAAAACAGGAGAGATATTTATCTTCTTAAATTTCCTCAGGAGTTTAGAAGCATTTTTTCTTACAAAAGTCTGCAGGGTATTGGATTCAGAATGCAATATATTTTTTGTAATCTTCTTTTCCTTCTCATTACTTACTAGGGACAAATTTCTTACCCTTGACAATTTTTAGTACCATACTTATTGTGAAATATGTTATAAAACTTAATTCATTCTCAGCATTTCCATAACTGGAGCTAGCTTTTATGTTCTTACCATTCAGGTCATATTTCTCAAAACAGGTTATTACAAACATTGAACAATATATTCTCTTAATGCCAAATAAATTAGGTAAGCCGCTTGTCAGTATGTATGCAAATGCTGAACCACTGATGTGCTTTACCTTGTCAGATTTTTTCCTTACTTTCCTTTTTTTTTTTTTTTGGTACAAGGAATCAAACTCATAACCTTGCGCTTGCCAGGCAGGTGCTGTGCTACTGAGGTATATCCCCAGCCTGACTTGTCAGCTTTCTCACAAAAAACATGTCTTACATTTACTTCCCATTTATTTCTTTAAAAAACAAAAACTGTTGAGATATACTCTGCTTTGTCATATTGTTTTATTTTTGTTATCTTTTATATCATTGTTCTTACAAAAACCCTCCTAGGGTATTTCTCACTAATGCCAATCATTCTGTGTACCTGAAGAAAAGCTAAAGAAAGCTTCTATGTGAACAAATCATTTCTTACATCTTTTGTTATTAGATCTTTTCTTAGAATCCATAAAAATAAATTAAGGAACCATGATTCTAAATTCCTCAATAAAGAATTGGAACAATCTGTCATCAAAAACAAAGAAAAAAGTAAATATCAAGTTATACTAATTTTAAACAAAAATTAACCCATATTAGACTATAAATCCAAATATGAAACTTAAATTTTTAGAAGAAAATAAAAATATAGGAAAAGATTTGTGAACTCGGCTTAGAATAAAACAATTTAGATAAAACACCAAAGTGTGATTTAAAAATTAATAATGGGTGAATCAAGGTTTATCATAATTAACTTTTACTGTACAAAAGATGTTGTAGTGAAAGGAAAAGATAAGCTTTGCGCTGTGAAAAAATGTTTGCCAGTTCCGTATCTATGGAAAGAAATGTACCTACAACAAGTGAATTGTAAACATTTAATAGTAAAAATATTACTCAAAAATATTTCAGCAAATATGTAATTTTAAAAGGTATGTAAGCCAAGCATGGTGGCTCATGCTCTAATCCCAGCCCTCGGGATAGCTGAGGCAAGACTGGAAGTTTGTTTCCAGCCTGCATAACTTAGTGATTTAGTAAGAACCTCTCTCAGGATGAAAAAATGAAAAACATTATAAAGAATTGGGGATGCAGTCCAGTGGGAAAGGCCTAGGTTCAATCACAGGTACCTCAAAAAAAAATGTACACAGGCAAATATATACAAAGAGTTACTCAACAGCATTAGCCATTAGCAAGCTGCTAATTAAAATCACAATGAGTTACTGCAACAAATATATCAGTAATGCTTAAATGTATTGTTTTTAAAAGCTAAGAACACCAAATGCTGATAAGAATGCAGAACTCTAACTCTCATATTTTGTTAGTGAGTGTGCATGGTGTATGGCTACTCTTGTAAGCAGCGTGGCACTCTCTTATAAATAGAAATACATAGTTAATATGATCTAATATTTCTCCTCTCAGGTATTTGCTTAGTAGCACTACAATTTTATGTTCACATAAATACCTGAACACAAAGGAATACAGTAGCACTACTCAGACTCACAGATTACTGGAGAAACACTAAAAGTCCGTGTATGGATGAATGAACACTGTGGTATGCCCATGCAATGGAATACTATCAGCAATTAAGAGTAATAAACTATTAACAATAATAAATTGGTAACTCAGAGAAACCAGACTCAAAAATAAAATATTTTATCATTCCATTTATTTGACACTCTAGAAAAGGCAAAGAATGGAAATGAACAATAGATTGCTGGTTTTGAGCGGATAAGTGTGGAGATGGTTTTATTACACAGGGGCAACATAGAACACATTCATAAATGAAAGCTCTGTTCTGCATTCTGTGTATAGGGTGGATACATATATTTATGCATTTTGCATTTGATAGACCCTTAGATGTAAATTTTGTCTGAATTTTAAAACAGCAAATTAACAATGTAATAGCTTAAAATAACCACCACTTTATTGGGTGTCACAAATATGGGGACCAGGAATTTGGGCAGGGGTTGGCTGAGTGAGTTTTTTACTTTATGTTTCATTGGTATAAGTCATTCAGCTTGTGCACTTGGAGGATTCCTTGTCTGAAGAGTTTGAAATGGTTGCACTCACACCCCTGGTGCCTCAGTGAAGACAACTGGGAGTCAGCACCTAGTTGAATTTTTTTCATTTTATGGAAAAAAAGGTTAAACAGAATTTCATAACATAATAATAGACTAGCAGTAGTTAATACATTGCATATTGTCATCTTCAAAGTAGTTATTCAGAGTACAAGATATGATCATAAAAAATTCTCCAATCAATATTAGCACAATACTTCCTTTCCAGTGAACTAAGAGACACTAATAGTATAGTTAACTAGCATTTTTCTTCCTTTTTCCTTCCTTCCTTTCCCCTTTCCCCCATCCTAGGTCCTTTTACCTTTTAAACAATTCCTTCCAATTTCACAATATCTATTGTACATTTTAGACCTTATTTATTCTTTCAGTTTCTCATACCAGTGAGATAATGCAATGCTTATATTTGTGAGTTTGATTTATTTCAAGTTGAGCACTTTGATCCTTAAGCTGTCTACTCTGAAGTCCTCAAAAAGGAAGTGCAATTTTCAAAAATTTGCATGAAGATTTTCTTAATCAAAAGCAACAATTCGTTAGTGGCATTTCCTATGTCTACACTACTGAAATGACAATGTTTCCTACTTACCTGCTCCCACAATGTAAGGATGGATATATTTTTCCCATGGTAGCATTTTTTTGGTAGCATTTTTCTTCCTATCTTTTAACTGTAACAATGATGTCCTTAGAGTCTTGCAAGCTTGTGTCTGCTGTCTAATCCCAAAGTCAATTACACAGGTTTTAAATTTTTTTCCTTACACAAGTATCCATTTTCAGTTACCTAATTTTATCTCAGTTATTGCTCTATTACAATTCTCCAAAAACATTGGTTTATAAAAACATTTTATTATATTTCATAATGTTGTCATCAAAGGTTTAGGTAGGGGTTTTATCTTGTATATGGTGCTGACAAAATTGGTGGTACTCAGATGGTAAAACTAGCATAGGAGCTGAGAAAAAATTATCTGCCACCATAAAAATTACCTTGTTTTTGATATAGCCTCAATTCCAATAAGCAGTATATTATGGGCCATTCTCAGATATTTTGAGAGCTATTGACCTTAAGGAAAATTAAAGAGATTTCAGAGTTTGTTCTTTCCTCATAATTTAGCATCAGTAAAGTCACTTAATTTATCCCATATTTTTTGATCAGTTAAAATAATTTTCTGGCCAAGAAAGCACTCGAGTGCCACATCTAGTGCAGCTCTC